GCCAATTTAGCCTGCGGGGTGGACATCCAGTACCGGATGAAGGGTCTTTTCAACATAAGAAGACTCCAGGTAGGAACAAAGGTGTCCACAGCTTCCATTACTGAACTTCAGTATGCAGACGACCTCACCCTTGTCGCTTACACTGAATGTGTGACCTACGGGAGATCCTGAACACCTACACAAATGCTTCTGCACACTTCGGCCTTGAGGTGAATGTACCTAAGACTCAGATTTTTTTTCAGCCTGCCCCTGGTTCAGCCACACCTCTACCATCCATCCAGCTTAACGATACTACCCTCTCTAATGTTACCCACTTTCAGTATCTCGGCTCCCGCCTGTCCACTACACCGGACATCGATGAATAGATTTCACTTCGGCTCAGATGTGCATCTCGAGCCTTTCGCAGACTCCGTACCCATTTCTTCAGCTGTTGGGAGCTGAAATTATCTACAAAGTTGTACGTACTGTATATCGAGCAGTGGTCCTCCCCACCCTGCTATATGGCAGCGAGACATGGGTCACATACAGGAGGCACCTCAAGGCATTTGAAAACTTTCACCAAAGTAGTCTACGTTCCTTCCTCCGAGTTCGCTGGGACAGGAGAACAAATGCCATGTTACCCGCATGGACGACAGTAAACTGCCAAAGCAGCTACTTTACAGTCACCTAACGAATAGTAAATGTAACTCTGGCGAGCAACAGAAAAGGTCTTAAGACAAACCTGAAAAAGTGCCAAATCGAACCCCTCACCTGGGAGACAGTTACCCCACACCATAACGCTTGGAGGATCACCACACAAGGTGTCAATACTTTCGAGCTAATCCGACTGCATACCGAGGCAGATAAGCGCCAACGCCGGAAAGACGCTGCCGTCGCCCTTCCCGCACTAGATGTAGCCCTCCACACGTGCAACATCTGTGGACGACACTGCTGGTCCCGTATCGGTCTCTTTAGTCACCCCAGAACCCACCAACGAAGGTGACATCCCTATTAACTCGTATCATTGTATCATAGCTGGATGATCGTCATACTCGATTCCGAGTGACAGCAAAGTAGTAGTAGTAGTAGTAGTAGTATTAGTAGTAGTAGTAGTATCAACCCCGAAGACCCTTCGTTTCGTTCATGACACTTTTGAAAATATATCAGTCATCACATTCCTGGAATCGTCCTCATGTATCGTCAAGTACAGTAGGTATGGTACTTGTGTTTGTGATAGATAGATGTAACGCCATTTTCAGTTCCCTAATATATTATAAGGGAAAGATCGAAGATGAGGCAACTGTGCTTAGTCGCATATGAACTTGGTTTATGGCAAAATATTTGGGTAAGGTTTAGTGTTTTAACTGGTTTTTAATTGAATTTTATTTAGATAATTTAGAAAGGAAAAATTAAGGCACAGGTAATAGTTTACAAGTGTGCACATTAAGAATTTCCATACGATATTTTTTCTATGGTGTATTTCATTGCTTTGGTTGTTGTTCCGGTGGATCTTAAATACTACCAATGTTATGTAGGGTAGGTAACATTACATATTTTAAGAGGAAATGTTCGAACCTAATCAGTCTTACGCACGTTTGATTTGATCAGGCCTGCCAATTTTAAAGGCTCAACTACCAACCCTCTCGTGTTGCTGCATTACGGTTACTAAAAAGTAACCCGAATGTACTGGCTGCTGTTGCAGTTTGACGAATCCATTTGTCGGGTTACTTAAAAGTGATCAGATGTTTGGGATTCCTCTTCTGACTTATTGCTCCGACTGTTTAACCCATTCCACGTGATTCCTGCACTTTCTCAGTTTTTTCAGGTTACCGCCAAGCTACTTTATTCAGCTTAGCGAAACCTCCCGCAGCAAACAGGTTAAACATAGACATTATTATATACCCCGCAATGTACGGGAAGTACGACAGGACTGCTCTCTACTAAAGCTGCTGTTCTACCGAATATAAGTATCATTGTCTTGAGTACTAAGTGTTCGTGAAGTACAGTACTGGAGGTGCAATTAGAGGTTATGTGATGTGTTAATTGTGGCCACTTATTGTAACTTATAAATGGTACAAGTGGAGACATGTACATCCTGTTACCACACTACTGTTGCTTGGGAAAATAATCTAAATAGTGGTAATACCGTCTTCATGGAATTTAAGTGAATAGTCAGCGTTACACTGTATTTGCCTTACTGTCTCGAGTCAACCCTGGTATATTTTATATTGTATTGAAAGTGACTTAATAACGTATCTTGATACCTTGTCTCTGGCTTAACCTAGTCTATCTTATATTGTATCTTAATCAAATGAATATTGTTTAATCAAGGAGTCCTAGGTTCTACTGCTCTGATGTCCCATTTCTATTCTGTTAGGAGCTAATTGCAATTGTCGCTCCTGTTACATCAATGATCATTAAATTTGTATTTTACTGTAATGAATTTTTTTCTCACATAGACTTCTTCTGACCAGCAATCTCATTTTAAGTATTCTTACCTTTTCCTTCTCCAAGCTGGTTAATCCAATCGGGAGAAGTTAGGAGTTATAATGCCCCTTTTGAAATTTTATGAAATTTCATTCGGGCCTCGGAAAAAGTAAATTGCTCGCCCAGAAGAGTCAGTTGTCGGGAGGATCGCGAGGAAATTTTTTGAGACAGTAAGAGTGAAGATAATTAGAAACAGTTCAAGCAAGTGTTCATTTGTTGTGCAGTATTAAGGATCAGCTTACACCTATCTATGTATTTCTTTTGAAGGGTATATTCTTGAGTCTAGTTTATGGAGAGTCTCGTTTGTCCGTTGAAAGTTTTGCTGTGATTTATAAGGATATCAATTTGATCTCTGCTAGCTGAGGGACTTGATTAGCAAGGCACATGAATATTAAAAAAAAATAAAATAAAATAAAGGGATTTAATAATAGCCGTTATATGTATCAGTATTTTATTAAATGAAAATAAAACACATTGTAAGGTGGAGTGATGGTATTACAGAAAGGTCTTACATGTAATTATTAATATGTAAATATTCAAACTAATGCATAAGATTTACATTTTATTTCTTATAACTAAATAAATAACAAATAACCGATTTAATGACGTCATCACACCAGGCAGGGAATGTAATATAAACTCTTACAGGAATTCAACAATGAATTTATCCATAAATTATCCATTAAAAGTTATATTCTAATTATCATTTTCATTTCAATCTAATTATTAATTTACTAACACATAAGACATAAATTTCTCATGTTACAACCACTAAGACTAAATTTTTCCCATTAAACCTTTGTTAAGGCATCACAGAGATTCACGTCAAATATGGAAATTTTGAGGCAAGGTTTAGCGTTCGAAGGATAGTGACTGTTTGTTCCCGTTCAGCGTGACTCTGCCTAACATTTACATCAATTCATACATACTGTATAATTAACATCTTACATAAACTGCTGAAAAAACGTTATCTGATAAACAAAACACAACAACATGGTGTTAAATACATTATTGTCAACAATATAAACTTCATAATTGTTGTGATACATTTTTTTTACATCTTCTCACACACACACACACACACACACACACACACACACACACACACACACACACACACACATTCAATCATCACACAGAGGAAAAAAAGTGATAGAAAGAGGGACATTTGTTGAAGGAATATATCGTATAGATCTAGATAAGAGACAAGTAAAAATTATTAAAGCACATAATATATTACAAGATGGATATCTTTATAATATATTTATGCGCTTCAACGGCTAAGGCTAGTAAGGAGGGAGAAATCAACACGTGATTCCTACACTAGACAACAAGGACATAGGAATTAAGAGGCACTTTACTTACTCTGTGAGAACATTAGATTTAAAAAGACTGATTTTAAAAGTAAATTAACATGATTTAGCAGATAATGTTATTCATTTTATTTTTGTTCATTTGATTTAAAAACTCAAGAAAATGCTATTCATGTATTTAATAATTTATTGCTGGTTCATCTTAGGTGTACTGTATATGTGCAGCACCTAAGCTTGCCCTCTCTTAACTCCTAATTGCTGATGATTAGTGTACTTACTAACTTATACAGTATGAGTACAGTATTGCGAGTTGAAAGACCTTAGTTGTCGAAACGCAGGAATACATTATAACATAAACATGGTGTTTATGATTCTCAACTTATCTTTGGCGGTGAAGTTATGTACACGTTCTCTTATCCTGTGCATTGATAATTTAAGCCTTGTGTCGACAGTGTATTTAATAATTTAAGCCTTGTGTCGACAGTGTATTTAATAATTTAAGCCTTGTGTCGACAGTGTATTTAATAATTTAAGCTTTGTGTCGACAGTGTATTTAATAATTTAAGCCTTGTGTCGACAGTGTATTTAATAATTTAAGCCTTGTGTCGACAGTGTATTTAATAATTTAAGCTTTGTGTCGACAGTGTATTTAATAATTCAAGCCTTGTGTCGACAGTATATTTAATAATTCAAGCCTCGTGTCGACAGTGTATTTAATAATTTAAGCCTTGTGTCGACAGTGTATTTAATAATTTAAGCCTTGTGTCGACAGTGTATTTAATAATTCAAGCCTTGTGTCGACAGTGCATTTAATAATTTAAGCCTTGTGTCGACAGTGTATTTAATAATTCAAGCCTTGTGTCGACAGTGTATTGAATAATGCAAGCCTTGTGTCGACAGTGTATTTAATAATTCAAGCTTATTCTCACCTGTAAAAGTAAAAATATTTGATGAGATGTTTAATGATATTTACAATAAATAAACTACAGATCACAAAGAGCTGGAAATGTCACTAAATTTGGTTATAGTACAAAGAAAATGCAAAAATTATTACAGAGTGAAAGGGATCGAGTTAGAGGGGTGGTAGAATGGAGTGTGTGTGTGTGTGTGTATGTATGTATATATATATATATATATATATATATATATATATATATATATATATATATATATATATATATATATATATATATATACAGTATATATGTATGTATAGGTAGTCCGAACCAAGGAGATAGACTCATAAATGTAGATTATATAGTGAGATGGACAGATAGATTGACTTAGATGAAATTAGAAGAAATACAGACGGACTCACCTATTCGACAGACAAGCGAAGTGCCCACTGTTTGAAGCACACTTCCAAAGGGGCATTCGTAGAAGAGGGTCGAGTTCACCCAATAGGGCACCGCAGGCACGTCCAGCGTCTCATCAAGGATAATAGGCGGTATTCGGTTCCCAGCAGGGTGTACTGAAAAGTACACGCAACAAACACATCTTGATATTATCTACGCGGGGTCACCTCATTAAGCTATGACAATCGATAAACTGTCAGTTGTGTTGTGTTTTTGTGTCAGAGCTTTACCGGATGTCCCGCCCTACGTGTCAAATGCATTTAATATCTTTGAATAATTTTTGATACCATGTATAAATTTTGGTTCCCATTGTAGTGTTTTAAGCCACGCTGAGAAGTACTCTAGTGTTGGTGTACCATTATTGATCGTGTCTGTAGTGGTGGAAGGAATAGAACATGTTATCTTTTACCAGTGCGTCTCATTAACCCCAGTCACAGGTGATAGCTTTCCACAGTCACGGAGAATATTTTTATTTAATTGTGTTTGTGCTGGTTCGGGATTTCTTTGAGGGGCGCTTCCACTGCATTACCATCCACTGTAACTAAAAAAAACCCCCAATAACACAGAAGTGTGAGAGAGTAAATTCCGACCGGTTAGACACACACATACACACACATATATATATATATATATATATGCTTGTTATCAGCATATACCTGGATCATGCACACCTACAGTGATTTACTTGCATATATATGTATATATATATATATATATATATATATATATGCTTGTTATCAGCATATACCTGGATCATGCACACCTACAGTGATTTACTTGCATATATATATATATATATATATATATATATATATATGCTGAAATAGAAAGACTCGGAGAGACAGACAGAATGAAAGATAGGTAGTCCGAACCAAGGAGATAGACTCATAAATGTAGATTATATAGTGAGATGGACAGATAGATTGACTTAGAAGCAATTAGAAGAAATATAGACGGACTCACCTATTCGACAGACAAGCGAAGTGCCCACTGTTTGAAGCACACTTCCAAAGGGGCATTCGTAGAAGAGGGTCGAGTTCACCCAATAGGGCACCGCAGGCACGTCCAGCGTCTCATCAAGGATAATAGGCGGTATTCGGTTCCCAGCAGGGTGTACTGAAAAGTACACGCAACAAACACATCTTGATATTATCTACGCGGGGTCACCTCATTAAGCTATGACAATCGATAAACTGTCAGTTGTGTTGTGTTTTTGTGTCAGAGCTTTACCGGATGTCCCGCCCTACGTGTCAAATGCATTTAATATCTTTGAATAATTTTTGATACCATGTATAAATTTTGGTTCCCATTGTAGTGTTTTAAGCCACGCTGAGAAGTACTCTAGTGTTGGTGTACCATTATTGATCGTGTCTGTAGTGGTGGAAGGAATAGAACATGTTATCTTTTACCAGTGCGTCTCATTAACCCCAGTCACAGGTGATAGCTTTCCACAGTCACGGAGAATATTTTTATTTAATTGTGTTTGTGCTGGTTCGGGATTTTCTTTGAGGGGCGGTTCCACTGCATTACCATCCACTGTAACTAAAAAAAAACCCCAATAACACAGAAGTGTGAGAGAGTAAATTCCGACCGGTTACACACACACACACAAATATATGCTGGTTATCAGCATATACCTGGATCACCCGCACCTACAGTGATTTACTTGCACACATATATATATATATATATAATCAAACATCAACCTGCCAGGATTAGAACCCACGGCCCACGAGCCCATAACTGTGACCGGGGAACGCTAACCGCTGGACCACCAGTATACTAAAAAGCAGTCCTAGATTCTGTTATATTTCACACAAAGCCTGTTCAACAAGCTTATGGCGCCGTGAACCTCTAATGGGGACTACCCGTATCCGCTTAGGTGGTCAGAGTAACGTTTTACCAAATCCGGCTTCGAAACACGAGGATCCATATATATTTCATTTAAAAGCCGCAATACTTCTACATATAATCAACATACTCAACAACACCTCAACCCGCCATGATTCGAACCCGTGTGTTTATTGGGCTAATGAAATATATATATATATATATATATATATATATATATATATATATATATATATATATATATTATATATATATATATATATATATATATATATATATATATATTATAGATATATTATGTATATATATATATATATATATATATATATATATATATATATATATATATATATATATATATATATATATATATATATTATATATATATATATATATATATATATATATATATATATATATATATATATATATATATATATATATATATATATATACTATATATATGCTGAAATAGAGAGACAGTCAGAATCAAAGATAGGTTGTCTTAACCAAGGAGATAGACTCATAAATGTAGATTATTTACTGAGATAGACAGATAGATTGACTGAGAAGAAATATAGACGGACTTACCTATTCGACAGACAAGCGAAGTGCCCACTGTTTGAAGCACACTTCCAAAGGGGCATTCGTAGAAGAGGGTCGAGTTCACCCAATAGGGCACCGCAGGCACGTCCAGCGTCTCATCAAGGATAATAGGCGGTATTCGGTTCCCAGCAGGGTGTACTGAAAAGTATACGTAACAAACACATCTTGAAATTATCTACGCGGGGTCACCTCATTAAGCTATGACAATAGATAAACTGTCAGATATGGCGAGTTTTTGTGTCTGAGCTTTACCGGATGTCCCGCTTATTTGTCAAATGCAAGGCTGACCTGACGTGCCCTCACCTATGAGTATGCACATGCAGTATTATAATCCAATAATACAAAAGGCAGTTAATGTGTTTAGAATAAAACAATGAGATCTGTAGCTAGGAAGACCACCTGAAGAAGCTTAAGATTCCATCAACGGTGTACGGAAAAAGTTCAAGGAATGAATTATAGTGAAGCGTGCGGCTGAGACAGACCATACTAGTGTTATTATTAGAGGACACGGTGTTAACGTCTTCAAGACACGCGTACAAACCAAAATGAAGTTTAAGAACATCTCGATGCATCTTGTAGATGTGTGGACCAAGTTACCTAAACAAGTGGTCACGTCACAAAACTTGCTTACATTTGAGAGGCGACTGAACTGGTGTGCATAATTACAGATCTCCGAGTATACTGTACTAGCCCGCCCTAGTTTGTGTCTAGATGAGGTTCTCGATATGCCGACCTGACACCATCGTCTGACATAAACATAGGGCAACAGGGAATTAAGGTTACTGCTCATTTAATAGAAATCACTTATTGGTAAGGTCAGATATAATACAATATATCGTTAGTTGATGTAAGAGTCTCTTATTCAATAGATATAATCTGACCTATTTCTGTTTTTTATGTATTTCTGAGCTTCAACAACTACAGTAAGGTCTTTTTGCACTTAAGCTTAAAATACTGTAGTTCAATAGACTAGCCAACAATTATTTTATAATTACTTAAAATACAAGTATTTATCAATGTTATAATGTGTTAATGCGCTTTACTGTAACAACAAAGATCTTTAAGTGCTTATCCTTGTTAACCAAATATAAGACATATTTATTTCAATAATATTTACACCAAAAATATTTATATAGCCCATGAAACGTTATGTAAATAATAATCGCAAAGAAAATTTACAATTATTCCTTTCCTTATATAAGTTTTATATTTTCAATTTTAATGGTTGATTTCTTCAGTTATTTCGTCAGACTTTTCCATACACAAAGCTTTCACTGAACTTTGTGGTCTGTGTAACAAGTGAACTGCAGTAAACGTCTTGTGGTAACATTAACAAGTGAATAACAGAAAACATCATCAACTCACCTTCCTCAGAATTGCTGGTACTTTGCTTCTCCCCAGGCGTTCCAGTGGAAGGAGTCATGGTAGTGGAAGGATTGTTCGCAGTGGAAGGAGTGTTCGCAGTGGAAGGAGTCATGGTAGTGGAAGGAGTCGTCGTAGTGGAAGGAGTGTTCGCAGTGGAAGGAGTCATGGTAGTGGAAGGAGTCATCGTAGTGGAAGGAGTCGTAGTGGAAAGAGCGTTCACAGTGGAAGGAGTCATGGTAGTGGAAGGAGTCGTCGTCGTGGAAAGAGTCGTCGTAGTGGAAGGAGTCGTCGTAGTGGAAGGAGTGTTCACAGTTGAAGGAGTCGTCGTAGTGGAAGGAGTGTTCACAGTTGAAGGAGTCGTCGTCATGGAAGGAATCGTCCATGTGGAAGAAGTCATCATGGGGATGGTCACATTTATAATGCTGATATTCTGGCTGGGGTCTTGACAGCTGCACGTTACCTGTAATGGTCATGAGAGAACGATTGTGTGTAGGGGTATGATATGATTTTTTTTAGTGTGATTGTGCATGTACGAAAAGTCGTGACCAGAGACTAAATCCTTGTTTCCTTTGTCAAAACAAACTTCTCTCAAATTTTAAGTCGAGATCAAAATATGAATCCTGCGTAACTCTAGTTAGGTTTTATATGAAAATATTTCGCTTATATGTATTTTTATGATCTACAAGATCGTTTATAACCAGTCGGAAGTTTCCCCCCCCCCGAAAAAAAATAATTAAATAAATAAATAAATAAATATATATAAACATACATAAATATGAATATATATATATATATATATATATATATATATATATATATATATATATATATATATATATATATATATATATATATATATATATATATATATATATATATACAACATAATGTAGGGGCATATGGGCCCCCGGGATTTGGGGGCCCATATGCCCTTAACATTTTCTTTTCCCAAGCCATTGAAAAAGACATACAGATATTGACGAAGACACACAGACATTGACAAAGACACACAGACATTGACAAAGACATACAGCTATTGATAAAGACATACAGCCATTGACAAAGACATACAGCTATTGATAAAGACACACAGCCATTGACAAAGACATACACATTGACAGAGACACACACATTGGCTAAAAAAAAACAAAAAAAAACACTGACCGTAATTCCGGTGCTGGTCATGCTGACGATGAAGTTGTAGCTTCTACCACCGGGACAGCGTTTAGAGATTTCATCATGAATTGTATCGCGTATATCGCCTGAGGGAGGAATGGTGGCTGTATGTAATGAATATTTTGTTATGGTGACTGAAAATCTCCCTGATCCTAATAGTGTCTTCCTAATCCAACGTCCCTTCGCTTGTCTTCTTAAACCATCGTCCCTTATATTGTCTTCTTAAACCATCGCCCCTTATATTGTCTTCTTAAACCAACGTCCCTTATATCGTCTTTTTAAACCAACGTCCCTTATACTTTCTCCATAACCCGGCGTCCTCTATACTCTCTTCCTAACTCACTTGAAACATCTTGACCCTGATGCATCTTTCATGTGACCCAACTTGCCCCTGACTTGATAATTACACAGACATTTGAAGCATTACGGGCGAGAAGTAGACAAGAGAAGAACAACAGTAAATTTAAAATGAACGCGCTCTTGTTGCTTGTCTCGTTCTCACCCAGAGTGGCTCATTTGACCTCTGGTACTTACATGGCATACACTGGCCGTTGATGGGTGTCCACTGACCATGAACACACTGAGTAACTTGAGGCTCCTGTCCCACCCAAGAATACTTGTCATCAGGGGAACACTCGTATAAGATGGCGTAGTCATGACTTCCTAGGTTCTCTTTAGAATCGGTGGGAAACGTCCTTCTGATTTTAGTGTTCTTGGGATGAGTGATTTGGGCCGAGCAATTAATACCATCATAGGTCGCTGCTGAGGAGAGTCAAACATACACGTCAATTCCGAAACGTGAAACACACACACACACACACACACACACACACTTAGAAAATGACCTTATCCATCTCTCTACTTTATATTATATAAAGGTGCTTCTCAATCCTTCCCGACATCATTAATCTTTATTTTATCCCCAAAGCTCACTCACCCGCTTTGAATATAATGGAGGAATAATATATTTTTTTTATCAATGCTCATTATTATGGTTTATTTTTGGTTTGCAGACTATAAGTTGAAATTACTGACTGTGGATGACGAAAATTTTCTATGTTTTCAATTATCTAATACTCAACACTTACTTTAAAATATATATAACATAAAAGACGAATATTCTTCTTTTACAGTTTACTTATCACCCTCCTACTGTTAGGCTTATCAAGATCCAGGATGGTTTTCTGGGCGACATCGTATACTGTACACTTGTACAGTCACAAGCCAAAGTTTCGACACCCCCCTCTGGCTGGGTGTTCGCCCAGGCCAGGGGTGAGGTAAGGCTGGGTGATCGGACGCAGACTTTCCACCACCACAACACTCCGAGACTCACAGCACACGAGCTTGGAAGGATATTTTCACGAATTTTGACATGACATGCACCTGCATAACAAAATTTCATTCATAATATTGTAGGCACACATAGCAATAGCAAGTTAGGAGTGAGGCATGAGAAACTTGGGCTGTTCTCGACCCAGTTATGAAATATAAATATTGATAAATATCACGTGTTGATGGACTAAAAGTATCGTGATACTACTACAAACAAAGAATGAGTCCCATCACAAAGATGCACATTAACAGTCAATAATCACAGTAGTGACCCACTATCAGAGCGCTGTTGGCTATCACCTCTGGGCGATTGGCTGGAGTGTTAGGTAGACATAGCCCACGTCCTCCAGCCAGAATATCCATATCATTTGGAAATAAGCTCCAAATTACCAAACAGCATGATTGGGACGTCATAGATATTTATCATTCAGATGAAAAAAAAAATAATCATATGCATAACTAGTTGTAATATTGGTGAACTCTGTGCCATAACTCTTGTAAGCCGAGACCTTATGAAGTGAAATTTATTAACTAAAAGCAGCAGTAGACAGGAAACAAGGCAAGTGACCAAGAAGTAGTTACTAATGATGACACACGGCCAGGCATATACGCTGAGGGTCGAGGTCTTGGGCAAAGTCGCTGCTCCGGACCAGACAAAAATTGTTTGGGTACCATGATTAATGTGAATTGCAAAAATACCCCATTGTAGTTACTGATACACCATTAAATATTGTAAACATGACTATATGAATTCCTAGTATGTGTGAAACCATAATATTCCCAGGGTTATGGTAATATCTATACATGTATAGGCCTCACCTTGTTGACTGACCGCTCACTCCCTCTTGACGAAATTCGGCCGCCGGCCACCCTTTATATATGCTGCCCTGATGATTCATGTGTAATACGAGGACTCGCCTCTAGTGGTTCCAAGCCAGTGTTTTGGGACCGGGCAAAGTTTTTCATGCTCCAATCTTAACATGTTATTGTTATGTGTGTCAACAATGTTATGAATGCATTTATTATGTAAGTTCATGCCATGTCAAAGTTCGCAATAATTCCTTCCTGTGCTCGTGTGCTATGAGTCTCTGAGTGTTGTGGTGGTGGAATATGAACCTCACCATCGTAGTGCCTCATGACCACATTGCTGAACTAGTCTGGGTCCGATCACCCAGCCTTACCTCAACCCTGGCCTCGGCGAACACCCAGCCAAGGGGGTGTCAAAACTTTGGATTGTGACTGTACGTACATACATTCACGGTCAAAAGTCTTGTCGCCTATACCGCTGCTCCACGAACCCCGAGATTCGGACTTGTCAACCCAAAACAATAGACACTGATGCATTATTCTGCAGAGTGAAGACGATTGCTTTGGACTCACAAGTCTGAATCTCGTCTCGGGGTGCGTGGAGCAGTAGCAGAAACGACAGGACTTTTGACCGCCACTCTACATATTAACCATTAAAGAATATACATATTAACCATTGAAGAATATCCTGTCGATCATCATTCTGATCACCAAATTCACTCATTAAACATATTAACTTCCACTATTCTCATTTTACCCTGATCCTGATCTTACTTAGCCTTAGGTGTATCATATTAAACACTTCTTACAGCATCTTCTCGCTCCTTACGTAACTAAACAAATCAGCCCTACCTAATCTATTCTAATTTTACTCCCCACCCTCCCAAAGTAGCGAGCGTTAAGGTGTTTAATCATGAGGTAAAATAAAATAGAGAAGGCTAATCTCCAAGATCTCATCAAGAAGGCAGGAACCGACACTGTGCATCAAGGGGAAAAATGAGATGTGGGGCTAATGGAGGATATAGTTAGCACCCTTCGTCGTCCCTTGTTCCCTTAATTCTTCTTTCATCTGTGGCATAATTACATTCCACCTTAGCTGGTTTATAAAACTGGTTTATGGTGTTACATAGAAAACTATATTCTTAATGGGAAGGGGGGGGGGGAGTAAGACCACAAGTAAAATATCCATAGAGTATTATATTGTTTTATACGGAAACTCGAGAAGATCAAGACGATAGGCGAGTTGTTGGTCGGAAGAAACGAAACCAACAGATGTGTGTTTTGGCGACTGACACTGACCATTTTTTTTTCCTACAGGGAATAGCCCACCCAGGCACAGGTCATCGACCCACCACGGGGCCTAGGGGGCGAAAAAAATAAGAGCAAAAAGAAATGAAAAATGGAAAAGAAAGATTATTTTAATCTACACCACGAAGGTGCCGGCAAACCAGCTTTTTGAAGTGAGACAATGTATGAGTATGGAAACACAGAAGGCAGAGCATTCCACAGTTTGGCTGTGTGAGGAAAGAAGGAAGTAATATAACGGGTTATTCTACTGTGACCGACAGCCACAGAGAAACTGTTGGCACCGCGGGCAAGAGGAGTGTTACGAGCCCACGGCCTTGCCGGCGGTACACAGGGTGTCAAATCCACCGAACATTGCCCGTTAAAGTACCTGTAAAAGAGAGAGAGTGAAGCAACATTGCGGCGAAGAGAAAGGGAAGAAAGATTATCGACTAAAACAGGAGAGTTAATAAGACGAAATGCCTATGATTCCACCCTATCTAACAGTTGGATAGAAGAAAAGCCACCCCAGATATGAGAGCAGTACTCCAAGTTAGGACGAATGAATCCCTAATAAACTTGAAGCAACTGCTCAGGAGTGAAGTGGCTATGGCATCTGTACAGCATTCCCAGCTTTCGGGAGGCAGCTTTAGCAATTTTGTGGATGTGTGGCTTCCATGACATATTTGAGGAAATGGTGAGACCTAGCATATCTATTTTAGAACTTGGCAGAATGATTGCATCCTGAAATGTGATTGGTGGGAGATCATCTAATTTGGAAAGTGTAATTGGTAAATACTGAGTTTTATTACTAATGAAATTAACCAAATTTCTAACTCCCCATTCGGAGATGTTGCACAGATCTACATTGATAGATGAAATGATATCAGCTCTAGAGACAGATCTGGTTTGGGAATTAGGGGGAAGGGAAAATGTGAAGAAGAGTGAAGAGTAAAATCATCGTCAGATACGTTCCTGTACCTTATCTTCTGGTTTTTATGAGTCGAACAGCCGTAACTGTATATACCTGTCCAAAATACTCGCCGGAAGCTCACAAAAAGGGAATAAAAGAAAGAAAAATGGGAAGGGTTGAGAATATGGGTACTGAAGGGGAAATTCAAATAAACAACGTGGAAGTTTAATAGAAAAGAAAATTAAAATCGCCCATAAAGGATCCTTAAACTTAATTCTATCGTTTCATCACTCGCCAGCTTACTAGCCATTCGAGCAGTAGGTCGGTTTATTCTTTGTTATGACCTTCCTAGTCCAGTGTTAGTACAGTAGGAAACCATAGTGTAAGGGCGGTAACGAGCAGGATGGTCGACCGCCGCTCGTTTGCGTGTTCGCGACCCCACTGTGGAGGGGAAGACGGAGGTGAGAAGGTCGCTGCTGCTTGTCACACATGAGACACTATATATATATATATATATATATATATATATATATATATATATATATATATATATATATATATATATATATATATATATATATATATATTATATATATATATATATATATATATATATATATATATATATATATATATATATATATATATATATATATATATATATATATATATATATATATATATATATATATATATATATATATATATATATATATATATATATATATAAAATGCCAATAGAAAGTAAAATAAAAACACTGTTACCCCCTTACATAGCAATAATGTTCTTACAATGAATACGGTAGTTTTATTAAGGCGATGCGACATAACTTATAGCTCTCTCTTTACTTTGAGTTACTGAAGTTTTACGTCATTCACGAGGAAGTGCAGATGTCAGAGAATATTTAATAAGAGAAATTTAAATTACACGAAGAATAGGAAAAATAATAATATTACTACTACTACTAGCAATAATAACCATATTCGATCTCTTCCAGGTTACTTAAATTTAAGATAAACCACCTTAACCCTGGCCTAACCTAACCCAATCTAACTCGGATAGCTTTGGGGTGTTTCATCATCAGGTGAAATAAGCTGGAAGTTATTCTTCAGGAAATCCACTGTAATAATAATAATGGTAATAATAATAATAATAATAATAATAATAATAATAATAATAATGATGATAATAGTATTACCTGTAATAATAAAACAAAAATCTCACTCACTATTACACCGTAGTATCATATTGGCAGACCACTCCTCAGTATCTCGATAACACCAAGAGATCACAAGACGGATGCCGCCGGGAAAAGTTTCTTTCTCATTGCTGCAGGTCCTGAAGAACAACCCATCAATTTCTTTCACTGTCTCTCCGCTGATGGAAGTGTAAGAGCGTGAAGAGCCTTGCGAGGTCCGGACTGAGAGAGAAAGAATGAACTAAATTGGTTGGGGAAACACACATCTCTCCCCGTAAGCTCCAAGGACATTCTCCCAAGGTGGGCTCGCACTGTTTCCTTCAGTATCAGTTAACCTTAGTCACCATTATAAACATTCCCTGTCAGATATTCTGGCTACTTGACAAGGCCGCGACCGGCTTTCTGAGGCCAAGGACTTAAACCCTGTTAACGTGACGATGATGGCAATGTTGTACTGTACAAGTATATAACAATGATGATTAAGATTACCTTACAAAGACGATGACTACTGTTATTATCACTACAAATAATAATAGCAGTTACAATATTAATAATTATAATAATAACAACAATAATACTAATGCTATAATAATTAAAAATTTCCTAATGGCCACCCAAACAATTAAGAGGCGGTCATGCCGAAGGAAGAAGGCTTCTGGCCTGTGTAAAATTCCTCCATTGTTGTGTGAAGAAGTATGTTCTCTCATGTGTCCTGCATATTAACTTTGCTAGCTTGAAGTTCTATCCCGTCGTGTGGGTGGTGAGTGATATCACGAAATATTGGCCTGGGTTTACATTTTTCATCCCCTTCACGATTTTGAATGTCTGTGAGATCTGCCTTATTGTCTCTTGTCTGGATAATCTTCGTTGCTGTGTGTTACACTTTTTCTAGGGGTGGTATGACTTTCCAGAGGCATAGCTTCCATGCCCGTGTACAGTAATCCAAATGTGGACACACGAGAGCCATAAAGTTGAAGGATGATTTTTCATCTCTATTAGAAGGTACTACTCCGTTCCTAAATTTCGGTTGGATTTTTTCACTGTTGCTCCCATTTGTTGCGCTTCCTTCAGTGAATGGTCTTCATATTCCAAATTCATTTTTCATAAGTACAGCTGAAGTGGTTACAAATAATACATTTGTTGAAAATGTGTGTCTGGTGTGCAGGTAACAAACTGTCATCCAGTGCATCCCCGGGTGGTATATCAGGGAACACACAAAAGAATATTGGTGAATAATGGCCCCATTATTTTCGGAACAAGCTGAGGCGGCCACACAGAGTGGCAGGTAAGCTCCACTCTCAGGCCAAGGGTGCCATTCATCTTAAACAGCTGATTATAGAAACAGTTGTAAGGGAAACCCCAGAAGCGGTCTAGTGTTAGTCAGGGGAGAGGACAGTTTTCAGGGCCAGGTAACAGAACATAAGGTGTTTTCCAATTCAGTACTTGAGATGATAGAATATGTTGCAAACCACAAAGAAGTCGTATGTCGGAAGAGACATTTTCTTGGCCCTAAACATAAAATTAAGAATGGATGTTGGGATATACGTATACTGCAAGACAGCTAAAGGGATGAAGCAACGAGATGAATAGGTACTGTACAGTCTGGGTGTACGAGAATTTAGTGTCGATTCACTGATTCAGAAGTCAACCCAATAGACAAAAGCAGGTTTTGTAATCAGGACGTAGAGATAGAATACATAGAAATGTAATAATATTTTGTTGGCGTGGAAGGCAATTAATGCAAAATTTTTGGATATGGGAAAATGATTATAACTATGCTGTGCACCCACTAAACAAGCAGTCCAAAAGAAAATGATGAATTCTATAACACCTTTCAAGACATAAAGCATCTGATACCAGACTTGACTGAGAAGGTCGGAGATGTAAATGTGGAATTTTTAGATCTATAGAAACACAGTAATAATAATAATAATAATAATAATATTTATTCATTAAAATCATCATACACGTTTACAATTGGTTTGGTATGCATATAGACTATGCAGGTACACAGTTCAGCAAATGTAAAGACATCGCCTGTATAAGGTGTACAGTACATAGACCTTAGAGATATAGTTTCTAATGTACTGAGACAGTGCAGGTCTACAGCAATAACAAACAGTAAAGGGAAAATAAGGAAATGAGAAATGATTAGTTATGTGAACTAAATGTATTTATAAGACGGGATAAACCCAGAGACATCGACCATTACTGCAGGATTTGTGGTCTTGTCAAAAGACTTATGCTGGTTTAACACATCATTACCTAGTACAGTAGTTGAAGCTAAAGGTCCATAAGAGTTCCGGCCCTGACATGGTGCATCCCAGAGTGCTAAGAGAGTTGTGCAACGAGCTTGCCGAGCCCCTGAAGATCCTTTTCTGTAAATGCCTGGATGAACAAAAGGTCCCCAGTGATTGGAAAGTAGCTTATGTGAGTCTTATCGTCAAGAAGGGCGATCGTCACTCCACGAACAACTATAGACCGGTGAGCCTGACCGGCATAATATGTAAGGTACTTGAGAGTGTTATCAGAGATGCCGCGTTAGAACATCTACTACGAAACAACCTTGTAAAGGATTGCCAACACGGTTTTATTCCGGGGCACTCCTGCTTAACACAATTGCTCAAGGTATTAGATATTCAGACCCATATTCTGGAACGGGGTGGTAATATCGATAATATATAATTAGATTTTGCCAAGGCTTTCGACAGTGTACCCCACGAAAGGCTGAAAATCAAACTGGAAGGGTATGGAATTCGGGGAAATGTCCTAGCGTGGATAGAAGACTTTTTACATGACCGCAAGCAGTGTGTGGTGATTAATGGCACGAAATCATCATCTGTACCTGTCACAAGCGGGGTACCACAGGGCAGTGTATTGAGCCCGCTGTTGTTTGTTTGTTTCATAGATGACATGCCTGACGTTGTACACTCCATATAAATGTTTGCCGATGACGCCAAGTTATTTCGGGAACTCAAGAATCAAGCAGACTGTGAAGAGCTGCAGAAGGATCTCTGTGAGCTCCAATATTGATCGATGAAATGGCTGCTGAGATTCAATGTCACGAGGTGTAAGAGGATGCACCTGGGGCGTACCAACGATAAGGAGGCATATATTATGTCCCAACGCGATGAAAAAACTGCACTATTTGAGACTGAATGTGAGAAGGACCTAGGTGTGTATGTTGACAATGAGCTGAAGTTCTCTGGCCATTGCGAGAAGAAGGTAAATCAGGCAAATAAATTATTGGGTCTTCTAAGAAGTGAAGTGCTTCCCCATCTGGAGTACTGTCACCCCGTCTGGTCCCCGAGATATACAAGGGACCTTCAGTTGGTTGAAAATGTTCAAAGGAGGGCCACCAGACTGGTGCCTGCACTTCGGCACCTCAACTACCCTGAGAGATTGGAGCGCCTGAACTTGCCTAGCTTATACGACAGACGGGCAAGGGGTGACCTAATTGAGGTGTATAAGCATCTGAGGGGGCACTACTCAGTCGAGTGTCCTTACTTGGAGCCTCAGGGGTCACAGCTCAAGATTGAAGAAGCCGCAGGTCCAGAAAACTGTGAGGGGTAACTTTTTCGGAGTGAGAGTTGTGAACTCTTGGAATAATTTGTCAGAACGTGTTGTTACGGCACCGAGTGTGAGCTCTTTCTAGACCAGACTTGACCAACACTGGAGAAGGTTCAGGTACATTCAGGAGCCGGTGCATGCCCAGTACTTGCCAACAGTGCGTAACAGAGACGTGACCGATTGCCCAAGCGGCTAACGAGCCGATCAGTGATGAAGAGGATAAAAGTAAAGTAAAGGTAGTTACAGAAGTGGATCACTTGATTAACTACCCTAATGCTAACAAACTAACAATTTAACTGAACCTACTGAAGCCCCCAGGTAGTTCGTGTGTTTAATCAAGTGAAATAAGTTGGAATCTAATCTTCAGGTGATCCTCAGATGTGATTTTATTGATTCTGAGAAGGATGATTCATTGTACAGACTCTTACTATGGGAAATATTGAGATGCTATGTTATGTGAGACAATTACTGCTCTTATTAAATCTACTTATGCAGACTCTATTTAAGAGTTGTGCTAGTGTTGTGATTTGGAGTAACAACGACTGACTGGTTCAGGTTAATAATAGAAGTAAAAAAGTCGAGTTTTGTCTCCTTTATTGTTTATTACAGCACTCGACTGTGTAATAAAAAGGGTGGAGGAAATAGTGGTACAGGAAGAATGTATGGAGCTAAAGAGCTAAACTTGGACTATGTAGGTGACTCATATTTACTGAACAACAGCCTTGGGGGAATGGAAAATATGGCTAAAAATATAACACCAGAATCTGATAAAATAATTCTGAATATCAATAAGTGGAAAACGAAGATAACCAAAGTGTAATCAAACGATCAAACAAATAAAACTGAGCGATGTAGTGATGCAAGAAACTAAACAGTTTGAGTACCCTGCACTGAATCTTGACAGTGTTTCATGTACCGACGGAATGTTTAAAATATGGATAGTAGGCCGTCACTGAATAATAAGATAAAGCTATATAGATTATGCTAAACATTGAAAGGATTACACTCAAAGGAAATGGAGGAAAAGTTCAGATTTAAGAGCAATTGTATAAGAAAAATGAAAATAAAATTGTATAAATATATTAATAAGAAAGGATTAGGAAGACAAAGTGAATAAACATTGATAATTAGAGATCTTGAATATGAGATGATGATACCATGGTCAGTTATGAGGATTACAGTACAAGGAAAACAAGGCAAAATTTACACGAGGAACCTGTTGCTTGGAAGACACGGAGAAGAAATATTACGTAAGAACTGGAGAATGAACACAAAAATCAGTAGTAATATATTTACAGGAGCTAGTACATGGCAGTAGCCTACTGCTTGGAAATATTTCACTGCTGTCGGGAAGGATTAAGTTTAGTGCATTCATGAGTAATGATTATTGTATCATGGTGAATGTAAGGGATTTATATTCTTGTCCAATGCTTGTTGGAACTGTGTTGTTCAGTGTTGGGTTTGCTCTCTGTATCTGAAGCAGGTGTTTCTCATGAGTACTTCGAACCGAGTCATAGTGCGGGGTGTAACCGTATGACTGGTCACTTGGCTCCCTTCCTCTGACCCAGTTGGTCGTCTGCTACCTACGAGTATTCCGTATTATTTATTATCGTTTTTGGTTTATGGTTCCTATAGTGTTGTTTGCGTTTTAA